TGAGTTTGTTGAATGGTACAGTTTGTACATGTATAAATACGTAATAAGGTTATAACGACAGCTGGTGTAACATGTTACTCATTGTGGATTCTCTCTTAATTTACACAGTAGTTTCTTTACTCCGTGTTCTGATATAAATATTGATAAGAGTTAATTAGGTGCCTAAAAACGAGTGTTGCAATATTTTTAATTTTTATTATTTTGACTCTGATTAACTGTGCATGTGTGTGTCGATCACCATTCCACTGCAAATCTGTAGCTCACCGAGGGTAAAATATTTGGATGGACGATTAAAAAGCTACAGATCCACCCACTGAAAAAGTGTATATGAAATTGTGCTAATTAGCTTTGATACATTCGTAATCCGAGGGTCTTTGGTCCGCTTCGCTCCCCGGATGGTAGTGTATGCAGGTGAAATTTTCGATAGACTCTTGATGTTCATGAGAACTATTAACGTCTGTTATGGGGAATGTTTTTTTTTGTAGAGATATTGAAAGAACATGTAACAAACACATGGTTTGTAACATTTTGAAATAGAAATTGGAAAATAAGACGATAAAAGCATCAAAACGCGCGCACTTTTTTGTGCACAATAGATATACACTTTTTTCAGTGGGTGGATCTGTAGCTCTAGTCCTCAGCCCAATTTTTTCAGCACAGTGAGCTACAGATCTGCAGCTACATTTTGACTATACAATTTTTTATTAAATACTTCTGTACTTTCAATAAAAGGTACCTGACGTACGGATCCATTCCAGTATTTCTCTAATAAATAAGTACAAGCAAGATGCAACAGGTAATAACTAGAGTGTTCTAAGGAACGCATATGTCGCCTGCTTTATAGCAACATTACAGATTAAAATGAATTTAAAGATTGTCAGTTATTCACGGATAATTAGACCGAATAACACTTATCATATAAAATCTGACAATTAAAGAGAGATATGGTTGTTCAACCCTGAAAGCTAAAATAAATAATGAGTTTGATTTTTATATTTATTTATTAATAGTGTTTAATCCAACTATCCTCCAAAAGGCTTTACGGCAGTTGTCAGCCTACAACGATCCTTTTGGTATATCGATCTCGATGTACTTTCATAGTATTTTAAATTTCTGAATCTGTGTTTGATAACTGTAGAGCATACAGTTTCAAAGTGCAGTTTCGTGAGCTTCATAAACATGTGATATAGGCTAAATGCTAATTATTAAAACCCTGTCTCTTAAAAATAAAAAATAGTACAAGTTAAATCAATTGTTCAGAGTATGTTTGCAATGTAGGTCAAGTTAAAATGGACTGTAACGCTGGATTTTTCATATTTCATGGCAAACAGTGCACATGCTAAATATCATAAACTTTCATCTTAAATGTCAAAAACATGCTGCAAATCGGCACAATGAACTATTTTGAAAATTAGGTCAGGTTTAAGGGTCACAAGGTCGGTAGCCACGGTATTTTACAAAATCCAAAGTGCTCTTTGCCAAAACAATACATGTGAAATATATGAAATTCATACTTCTTGCAATTCTCAACAATTAAGGTGTGACAGACGGACGGACAGATAGACAGACGCCGGGTAAAATAATCCTTGAGTGTCGCTCTGCTCTGCAGGCGACACAAAAATAAAAAAAAAAGACATTAAAATGGAGAGAAATGACTAGGATTTAACAAGTTTTTATGTTTTTGTCATATCCCTTTATTTAATTCTGAAGAAACAAAGGGTAGGGGGTCCATACTGCAGGTGTTACATAAACATATTTATTATAAATACTCGAATCTCCTTTTTCAGTTGGAGAAAGCCTTGGGTTATTAGTATGAGATCTTCATCAAAAGAGTTTTATACACTTTGTGATATTCTACATATTTTTAAAATGCAAAATGCGCTTAAGTGTTTTTTTTTGTTCACTTCTTTGTCAAAAAGCTCTTGTGCTGCAAAGTGGATATCATTGTAGGTTAAAATAGGTTCATTCCTCGGCTTGTTTTGTCTAAGACACTATATCATGTAGTGCAGCAGCCTCTATATAACATGTTTGTTGGTGTTATTTCAAGAAAACGTTATCTACAATCCAAGCAATATCCTATAATATTTCAAAAACAATCCTCAAAGTAAGCCCAGGGGTGTCTGGCAAATAATCTTAATCATATAGTCATCGGATAAATTGATGAAATCATTCCAATACAGTATTAATACAAAAAGAAAATAGCAGGTAATGGAATGTTTTAAACACTCCCTTATCAACAGCAGGTGCGATAGGTTGAAAATGCGTTAAGTTACAGATGCTTTAGAAAAGAGTCACCTTTTTTCAAAAGATTTAAATATACCGTAGTTGAAAAATGTTTTAAAGTTTTAAAAAGAATTATGACAAGAATTTTAGATAGATTTCAAATTAAACTAAAAATCACATAAAGATTAAAATTTTCCTTTTTGTTATGGATTATGCTTGCTAGAATTAAAATAATCATTTTAAATATATTTCAAATTTATAACTAAAATGGACATTAAATGTTGGCAAGAATTAAAATTTTAATTTATGTTCTTTAATTAAAATTAATTAATCATCTTTGTGAAAATATATTAATCCCCAATCTAATGACCAAACCTATTCTTTTAATAAATTTAAAAAAAGTGTCACATATGAGTGTCATTCTGGACATACTTTCATATGCTGCTTCATCTTTAACGTGTATTATTTAACATTAACATGCAAACTTTTATCATCGTGTACGTCGCTTTTATGTAGAAAAGAACTTTAAAACATAAGGGGTTGCCAGCATGTATTTTTGATTTTCCGAGTGTAAATTACCCAAATATTCAACAACTAACAAAACTGTTCTGAAATTAAACGTGTTGAAGTGACAAGGAAATTACATTAGGTGTTTGTTTTTCGTAACCAGGACACGAAAATAAGAATAAGCCCCTTCGGTTGCTGAATGAAAAGGTGAGGATATGTCTTACAAATAGATTTTTTAATGCTAATTACACGGGGCAAATATTTAAGTCGAATCTCTGAGTAGAAAAAAAAAGAGGTCAAAAGGAGGTCAAAAGGGATATGGGTATTAAAAGGGAAAATTTTACGAATAAATGACTAATTTTACTCCGAATTTTAAGATGATACACGCGATGATAATTGATGAACAAGCTGCTTCGCCAATATAACGTACTCTGTGGTTTAATTATCACATCATAAGCACAATACTCATTATAATTAATAAGACACTCGATTCTTTAGATATTGCAGAAAATAAGTATATCACCTCCTGTTGTATTAGTCATATCCTGCGAAGTGTTAATATGAAAATAGTTGTAATTTTGTAAAAAGCCGCTAATTACAAATTAATATGATGTGCTCATTTGCAGACTAATTCTGTCGTCGTCATTCAAAATGATATTCTACTTTTTTTTTTAACTAGAACGATAAATTCATACCGATTGTGCTGCAGATATGTTTTATAAATCGTTCTATACTTTTATTCATGGATAGGTATATATATTCTTTGTTGAACATATTTATTCGTGTGAAGTTTTTGACAGTCTCGCAAATCTTGTATGTTGAGAGCATGACATAATTATAAAAATGCTCTGCCTATTATAGTCATTGTAACTAGTTACTGCTGAAGAATATAATCTAATGCGACAATGGTTCACAACTCTCGATACCAAACATAAACCGAAGGCCAGTGATGATAACGTTATCATTAGATGATCATTAAATGTGTTCTTATCATATTGATGAAGATGAAGGATATCTTAGGACTAAATCCTGTATCCTTTGTAAATGAAACACCCGCCATCGTTATCCGTGTGGAAAAACGAGCAGTCAATGCTTAACGATTCTCACATGCTTGGTAGGAAATAATGGAGCGGTTTTTTCTCTTCTCTATACATCCGTTTATGATAGTCTCTAGAGTAATTATTATAAGAGACCAAGTATAGTCACATTCATTATATATTTCATTCATTTACAATTCCAAAAATTAAGTCAACCAATGCCTTAAGTGTGATATTCAATACTGCTTGTAATGGATTTGTATGTCAGAAACAGGTGACATCTATTAGCTAAGCTGATGAAAGAACTTTAAAAACATTCATTATAGTTGATGTCTTCGACAGAATTTTGCGATCATTATATACCACGATTTCTGCTCTTTTCCCTCATAACTGAGCTTTACGTACTTTTAACATCTTTCGCACGTTCCAGACCTTCCTTTAATTGCGATGACAGAAAATATTGACCCAAACTGTGGTTTTAATGGTTAAAAAATAATTTTAATTATGTTTAAAATATCAGAATAATTTAGCGGACTTACGTAAATTTCTTATAATTATCGAATTCAAACACTCCAACAAATAAGGGGAGCTAGAATCATCTGTCACATGAAAATGGTATTTAAAATTAATTTCCCCGTAAAAATAAGAAATATTAACGTGCTCTCTCTCTCTCTATATATATATATATCGTTCCCTTTTCCATTCTTGTTCAATGAAAGGGCTTTGTCATTCAAAATATTTATTTTTGCGTTTTATAAAATTCTAGATAATGGATATTTTAAAAATTCGTCAGAAAACAAAAACCAGCTTTTACGCTCCGCATTAACACAGAGATATATTTTGATGAGACGAACACTAAAATTCTGTAAAATCGAAAGAAATACTAAAAAAACCCAAAACATGTTCTTTTCAGAAATAAATGAATATGCATTTGTCAAAAAATCATCAATTTGCTAACATGATATCAAAACTTTGTATTTGATGACGTTTTATGGGAATGTCTGATTTTTTTTTTATTCCACTCATTGGAGGATGATTGTATGGGCAGCTTTTTAATTTGCGGAGAACTGCAAACTACAATTCCCCCTCTGTAAGTATACTAGTTTCTACCACGTTACACATATCCAGACAGCTTTAGTTAATATATCCAATTTTGATGGACATTCTTCACAAAAAAAACCCAATGCATTCAGAAGACAGAGAAGTAAATCTAATTAATTCCACCATACCTACCTGAGGCAGACTAGCGATGACGCTAAGTAACCATGCCATGGTAAGCATAATCTTGCCTCTTCTGTCGGCGTCGTGTATGCTCATGGGATGGACAATGGAAAAATAACGGTCTAAACTTATTGTGACCAAAACAAAGGACGAAAGATAAAATCCAAGAGCGCGAAAAAACATCAAAATCCGACATGCCGCATCCCCAGCTTTCCAAGACACAGTAATGTGCCATGCAGTTTCCAAAGGTAACATAACAAAAGCTACAATTAAATCGGCTATGGACAAATGCATAATGAATGTATTCACTCTAGATTTGTATCTCCGACTTTTTAGCAGAGTCACGAGCACGATTAAATTTCCAGTAGCAGCGAATATAAAGAGACACGAATAAGCTATCACAGACATAACATTGTCGTCGTTGAAAGTCATTTCCCGCGGTAAACCTCTGTTGGACATATTTCCGAACCCGTTAACAGTCGTTGTGTTCATTGTAGTAGATGTCTCCTTGCTGCCCGCTTTCTGATAAAATGGGTTTGTGAAATTCATGTTATATCCGTACACACTAACAATTAGCAAGTTTTCTAATAGAAATCACATCTTAATCATCCTGTTACTTGGAATTAACATTCTTTCCAATTAATACAATGATCTATCTCGAAGTAAAACATATGGTAAATTTTCAAAACGCAGTTTTAATGAAAGAACTAAAGAGATATCTCAGCAAGAAATCCTCTATTAAGCTTCTCCGCGTTTCTTCCAAATACTGGCAGTAGATGTAGAACTCGCCTGTGTGCGAAACATTTTACATGCTATCGTCTTAAGCACTCCAATGAAATTAAGCTGTAAGAATGAACGAATCTTACAAACAAAAAACAAACTTAAGGAGACTGAACATTTGTACTCCAGCTGTGTTAATACCGATGGTATCCCCGACTAGTTTTCCCTATATCGATACCAGCCATGCATTGATCTGGAATGACTTGATAAGCTGTTCAGCGTTTTGTTACCGCCTATATAGCTAGCTGTTGTTAACAATTATAATGAACGTTCGGCTCCTGCCACCTTACTTATTTCCAAGGAAATATAGTTCACTTGCCTGTTATTTGTGTTTTAGAAAACTCGCCATTTCGTAACATTGTTGGTTCTGCAGTCTCCAGTGCAAACAGTATTTTTTTCCTGATTCCGTTTGTTAATATCGTGTGCAACAAATTCATACAGACTTCGACAGGTCCATATTCGGCTTAGAAAACACAAGAGTCCTATTTTGAATAACTAGTCTGATAGCATTTTTTTTTGGTTTGAAATTTAATTTAGCAGTTTAAGCCCTTGTTGCCTTAAATTGGAATTGAAGCAGCAGTACAACTTTTGTTAAATGTATCTTAATAAAAAAACATGTAGAGGTTTTCAGTCAATATAATCCAATGTTTACAATATTTGAGTGTTAAATGAAATCCTCTTTCAAGGGGTGTTTAAAAAAAACTAATCAGTTCTTCAGAATTGTGTACCTTCATCACATTTCCACTGGTTATGCTTTCAATCGGATAACTTAAGTATATATTCTTCACAGGAGTATGGCGCAGTGTAAATTATTAAAGACTTGGTTATTTATACTTAATGATTAGTATCTTGACGAACCTTTTAAAATATTTTAAGTTCCTTTATGAACTATAGGACGGATAATCCCCCTCAACCACTCACCATAATTATCCTACAGCTTTCATCTTAATTAAAACAAGAAAAAAGAATGGGATGAAAATTCAGAAACTTTTATCTCAAACTTGGTAGGACCGTCGTCAAACTTCAAAAGATCCGGGGTACGAAAAATTGAAGACTTGACTAAATCAAATAATTGGAGTAGTACAACTACAGGTATGCCTCTTCTATATGCTATGCATGTATTCTTGAGTGTTTAATGCTGTGATTTTATTCGTGAAAAATTAGTGCTATATGCATATCCGTGAGTATTTCTGTATATTGAATAGCGTACAAAATTTAACAAAGCAGGCACTGAAAAGGGTTGTCGAAAAGTAAAGCTCAACATATGTCATATGATCTTGACCTATGACTTTAAATTGGTCATTTCACCAGTTCTTTTGTAATTATTAATGCAAGGCATCAAATCGGCTGCGAACTTTTCACGTGCGTGCTGATCATGAAACCCTGAATATATTCACATAATGACGCCGCTGATTTCTGCAGATGATGGACATCACAGTAAACACGTGATAAATGAGAAGTGTCCAAAAAATAATTTTTAATTGTATCATTAGCATCTGTAGCAAGCTCAAAACAAAGTTTAAATAACAAATTTTCTCTCTATTTTTTAAATACTGTTATTATATAGGGAGCACTTTTTTGTAAACTTTGTAAAATGATGTATTATTATTTGATTAAAATTGATAAAGAAAAAAATTTGAAACGTATTAATTTCATTAATTAATGAATAATATTAAACATTTTTAATTTTTTTTTATTCAAAACAATTTAAGTATGCATGTTATCAATAAAGAATTACTCTATTGAAAAAAATAACAAATTACGCCTGAATTCCCTATGTGCACTTTCTAACACAACCACAAATATATCGGCCGCTGCTGCGGCCGATAATAACTTCAAAGATATAAACCAGACTAAAACATGTATTTAGCCGAGTGAACTCGCTGGCCAGTAAATACATTGGCCTCTACGCAAAAGATAATTTCTCGTATCTTTTAATAAAGATCGTGACACCGCACATACGAGTGTTGTCCATAAAGTTCGTGGACAAATGTTATAATTTTCTTAATAATGACCGCACTGGTAAACATGTACAATAATATTTTAATATGATTTAGTAAGTATATAAAATTAAAACAATACACTCTATTTAACGTATGTTATAGGTGTAGATACTTTGTATATGCAAGCCACATGGCCCAGTTCGACGTAGTGCTAATTTCACGATAACGTCAAAATTATGGATATTGAATTTTAATTGCATATTAATGGACAGACGCTACATTTTCTTTATTATGTCACACTGCAAAGTGTGTGCAATAATATTTACAGTGTATGTATATTAAGTTCGTGATTGTTTTTTTAAAAATTCAAATCGATACACGACTATCTACGAGGGACATCAGTATAAACACTTCCTATACTCAGCTGCAGGCTGCGCAACCCAGTCCGCCATTGCGGTAGAGATGTACATGTAACAACGTCATGGATAGGGATACCCTATTTTCATCAAATAACAGTAGTTTTCCACTTCTTGTTGTGTTTCAAAAATTGAAACACACCGTTGAAAAATTGTACATAGATATACCAATTTTTAATCAACGAAATAAATATATTACAATATTTTCAAGTTGTTTGAATAAATATTTTGTCTCTGAAGTCGTTTCAACCAAATTAAGCCATAATTTTATGATTGGACGCTATTCTGTTCGAATGACTGACGTCGCCTTTTCTGTCAACTTTCGAAGCATACAAGTATTTCTTGCGTTGTTTCTTAACATTTTCACTATCTGTAAAGTAAGCGATACTACAGATATCACAAAATGACGATATCAGCTTTATTTGCGACACATTCAACTTTTGTTAAACTCTGACTTGCTTTATAAAATAAAGATTATCATTTTTATCAGAAAACTTTATTTCAACGTTTATGGCATTTTAACTCTGTAAAAACTTAACTATGTAGGACTATTCAATTTGACAAAAACGTCATTGTCCACGATTTTTATGGACAACCGTCTTATAAGCAAACAACTATTGCATGCACTTTCCAGTCATTTCTTCCGTGGCTTCAAAATTTCAAGTCCGAATCTTGAATTATGAGCGATGATTTCAATGCCATCCATCGTAGTAATATTCTACTTTGTAGCTAAAAAATAGGCCAAACAAATTTGTTTTGCTCCACACCAACGATGACCAAAATTTTGCAATAACAATGAATTGATGTATACCATCCCTTAAAGACTCGGATTCAATGAAATTAAATACATTACAGATAAGTGCGGGTTGAATACTCTAATTCCCATTTATTACTATCGTCTCGTTTAAAGTCGTCATTTCGTAAGTTGTATTATCGATACAATGGCCTTGTCAGCAAATACAACCTATCATTAAGTCAAATACTGACCGACGTTTTTCATACTAATTTTTAGACCATTATTTACACACTGAATTGTCGACGGATTTTTCCGTTATTACCCGATCATGACAAGGAGCACACGGCGGGTGAGACCGGTCGGCAGGGGATGCTCACTCCTCCATGGCACCTGATCCCACCTCTGATGTTTTGGAGGTCCGTGTTTGCTCTGCTCCAAAATTTGTATTGTTTGATGGACTTTTAAGTTTGACTACTGTTCGTTATCTCCATACATTTCATCAGTATGTAAGAGTGGAATGTGAACTTATTTATGATCGTGACCTGCACTTGAGAAGTCATCTCCCTCTGTTAATCAATAAAAGTTAGAGTTGTCACGGTTTTCCGAAATAATCGAAAACCGCGGACCAAGTTGTTCGGTTTCGGTTAATTTTTTCCAGATATGTTGAAATCAAAAGAAAGGCGACGATAACAGGGTAAATATATATTACACGTTAAATCTTCTTCATCCATGACAAAACACTTATCTTGATTGTGTGTTGATTGATTGTGTACTGTTTTTACGTACCGTTCGAGAATTTTTCACTCATAGAGACGTCATCATATACCGGTGAAGAGCTTCAAATTTAGTCCTTTACTCGGCACTCAGGGCCATTGAGCTGTGAGTGTTCTTTATCGTGCCAACGCCTACCGTGACACGGGGCCTCGGTTTTTTAAGGTCTCATCCGAAAGACCCGCAACTTTCACTCGAGTGCTGAGCGCTTGACGAAGGAACAGTTGCTGTCTATTTTTATCCACTTAGGTCAGTCGCGGCCATGATTCGAACACACGACCTTCCGATCACAGAGCAAGAGTACTACCGACTGAGTGACCGTGACGGTCACTTATCTTCAAAGGATGGGATTGATTGTTTGAATGATGTTTTACGTCCCATTCGAGAATTTTTCACTCATATAGAGACGTCACCATATACCGGTGAAGGGCTTCAAATTTTGACCTATACTCGGCACTCAGGGCCATTGAGCAGTGAGGGATCTTTATCGTGCCAACGTCTGCCGTGACACGGGGCCTCGGTTTTTAAGGTCTCATCCGAAGGACCCGCAACTTTCACTTCTAAGTGCCGAGCGCATGGCGAAGGAACAGTTGCTACCCATTTTTTATCGACTAAGGTCAGTCGCGGCCGAGATTCGAACTCACGACCTCCCGATCACGAAGCGAGCGCTCTACCGACTGAGCTACCGTGAACAGTTCTCAAGGGATGGGATAATTATCGAAACAAGCTAGAGTGGTCATGTCACTAATATAGTCGGCCTAATAGTCCTATGTCAATATAGTAACATGGTTAAGATTTGTGAAATACGGAGATAACGAACAGTATTCAAACTTAAAGTAGATTTAAACAATACAAATCGGGAGCAGAGCAAACAATGACCTCCAAAAACATCACTGGTGGGATCAAGTGCCATGGAGGAGTGAGCATATCCTGCCGACCGGTCACACCCGCCGTGTGCTCCTTGTCATGATCGGGAAAAACGAGAAAAATCCGTCGACAATTCAGTGTCATGATCGGGAAAAACGGAAAAAACCATCGACAATTCAGTGTGTAAATAATGGTCTAACAATTACATGTAGTATGAAAATCGTCAGTCAGCATTTGACTTAATGATAGGTTGTATTTGCTGACAAGGTAATTGTATCGACCATAAAATTTGCCAAATGATGACTTCAAACGAGACTATTGATATCCTTGTTTCATCAGTTTGTTTGTCAATAGCTTGCCTCGTTTTAGAAAGTGTTCATACGCAGAGGATGCTCTTGCGTATTGAATATAACTGGGAGACAAAAACCATATTCAGATGATAAGGGTACATGTATATTGCTACATGTTCATTAGTAAGTGAAGTTGACGATTG